TAAATTGCCCTGAACTTTATTATATATATATATATATATATATATATATATATATATATCGTGAGAGCTTTCGAGATAAAAAAAAATTCATCTTTTCAAGCGCTGTTAGTACTTATTTTTTTAATAATTAAAATAATGAAGCGATATTTTTTATAGACGAGTTTTTATTAAATCTTGTCTTTCAATAAATTTAATTTTTTAAACCTAGTTATTTAAATAATATAATAATCACAAAAAATCTTTACATTACAGTATTTTATAAACATTAAATACACAATGATTATACTTGTATATATCAGATAGTTTATCTTAAATCCTAATTAAAGAAATAGCAAAAAAAATTACAAATATTGACAGAAAATTATACATCTAAATAAAGTTAATCTTGTAAAGCTATTCACAAAGATCTAAAAATTTTATTTTGAGTCTTAATTTTATTTTAATAATAATAATCTTAACAATAACAACAAATATAATTACTACTGTTGTTGTTATTATTATAATTTATATTATCACAAATAAAAGTATTGTCAATTGGAAAACTGGAAATATTAAACTAAATATCTAATGGAATAAATTAAGCATAACTAGTTTTGTAACTTAAGTTATCAGTATCAGTACCAGTACAATAAAGCTAGGATTTTTTTTTTCGAAATTTTTTAACTTTGTAAGCTCGTATTGAAATTGATTTATAAAATTAACAATTCAAGTATAAATGGATTCTCAAATTTTTAATTAAAATAGTTTTGTAGGAAATTGGTTTAAAATTTGAGTTTGTCTGAAGACTTTTGCTACGTATAGACACTTGTTTATCATTTTTTTTTTTATAGTACTGCAGCCAAAGACGATTACAAAATATAATTTATTGTTAAATTAATTAATTAATCGTAGTCGTAAGAAGCTTCACGTTTATTAATCAGACTTTCGCATTCTTCTTCATTGACAACGATTTGAGTTGTTTGTGGTCGTATTAACTTTTTGGCTTTAGACACTTTTCCAAGACCCTGAGCAAATCCACTCGCGCCAGATACACTAGAAAAAAGACTATGATAGTAACATTAAATTGAGTAAAGTAATTCGGATAGTAACGTGAGATAAAAATAATTGTATTTTAAATATCAGTAAATTATAACAGCTATCACATTTCTAAACATAGCAAATCCCAAATTTTTTTTAATTGTTGCATTTTTTTTTTTTTTTAACTTTTATATCTTTTCTGTATAAACTGAATTTTTTTTTTATCAATTTAGAGTGAACTTATTTTCTTATTTAAAAAATTTTTCAAAACTAAGAAATTTCAGTTATTGAATTTTGAATTGGAAAACTGATAACTATACGGAAAAAAATTATATACAAAAATTAAATGGCCATTTTTTCTTATATTAACAAAAAAAACTGTCAAATTTATATGTATAAATATGTAGAAATTACATTGTTAAATAATGTTATAATTTTTAAAACAAAATTGTTCAATCTACAGAAATAAACCTGTAAAAATAGTAGATCCGTGGAAAAAAAAATTTATATAAGGTAAAAGACCCAGTTATTGACACTGGCTTAGTTATTGACATTTGCAATTTTATTTTAATTAAAAAAAAAAACCAACTCCAATAAATTAATAAATGCAATTTGTGAATTATAAATTTTTGGATAATTGGTTTTTTGAGAATATTTTATTTTTTTAATTTAAATAAAATTGCAAGTGTCAAACAACTAGGTCAGTGTCAGTAACTGAGTCTTTTACCTTAATTATATAAATGTTTATATAAAATTATAAAAGAGTTTTGGTCATATATAATTTTATATATTGACTAGCTGACCCGGTGAACTTCGTATCACCTACAATATCTACAATATATTTTATTACACCTTTCGAACAGCGATTATCAATCTTTAAACTTTACTTCGATAAAGAATAAATACTGGCTGCATGAAGTATGGTTAGAATTTTGTCAAGTTATTAAATGAAACTCACTTCTCATTATCGCCTGAAAATCAAGATCCCAAAAAATGAACACTGAATTTATGAGATTTTTTTTTGTCCATATATACAGAAGATAGACGATTAACAATTTTAGTTCTGTTGATTTTCTTAGCTGATTTTCGGGTTTTTCAAAAATTTTATTCTTTCGAAAACATTCCTGAACTATAGTGAACAAAACAAAAAGAAAATTGTTGAAATCGGTCCAGTCGTTTTTGAGTTTTAGCGAGACTAACGCACAGCTATTCATTTTTATATATATATATATATATATATATATATAGATAAGCGTATAATTTTATATAATGATTTTTTCCTATGTAAAATTTACAAACTTTCTAATGCTAAACTTATAACTTTTTCCTTGGAAATTTAACATTTTTTTCCATATAAAATTCAAATTTTCAGTTTGATAGTTTTTTTTAAATATTAAAATTATGTTTTTAAAATTATAAATTTGACAGTTATGTCTTGACAGAAGAAAAACTCTAAACAGATTTTTCTGTAAGCTCTACATGATTTTCTTCCGTGTATCAAAGAAAAAAGTACCATTTTTTTTACAAACAATAATTTTAAAAAGAAAATTAAAACCAGCTATTAAAAAACTTACACAACATCCATTTCATCATCATCACCACCAGCAAGGTCATCATTTACTGTAAAATACGGATTCGCTGACGCTGGTCGGAATTTGTAACCAGTCAGTACGAAGAATATATAAGTTGCCATTTCTCTGAACATTTCGTCTAACCACTCATATTGAAATGGTACTGTCATCTGAAATAAAAAATGTTAAGTTAAATATTATCTTTCACTTGGAAATTTTGATTAAAGTAATTTAAGAATAAAAAAAAAATACCTTGAGTAGGTACATAATTATTCGGGTAAAGTAAATATAACAGACGATCATAATATAGAAGTGTCTAAAAAGCTTGAGTTTTTGTAGATTGATAGCTGCTTTGCCGTCTGTATTCGCGGATTCCTGCAAATGCCTGATACTCCAGACCACGGGGAACAATATCGCTCCACAACAAAGCAAATCTACGAGTATAAATACATCACGCCATGTTTTATGTTCTACGTCTCCTTCTTCACTTTCTTCAATTATAATCTCTGCTACGTTAGCTAACACCTATTGAATCAGATTAAATTTTTAGTCTTTAGATTTTATTTTGAAAATAATAATTGTGGTTTTAGTCAAAAAAAGTTACCTGGAGAGGTATAACAATCATAAAAAGTTTTTTGTCTTTATCAGCGAGGATATGTTTTATAAAGTCCCATCCAGTTCCAATGAGAACGATGGTTATAAATAATACTGCTCCTTTTAATAAATGAGTTATGTAATAAAGTATTGCCCAGGCTGCGACATGTTCTCCTTTCGTTTCTATAAAGTGATAATTTATTCCGTGGAACAGCAGCGAGAAAGATTTTAGGAACACCAAAACTGCCATCAAGTAGTGAATTTTGAATACTGGGTTTCTGAAATATTAATGTAATTTTAGTTAAATGTAATTTATTTAACTTTGCAATTTTTACTGATTACTGACTTTTTTTTGTATAAAAATATAGTAGAGCATTTTATAAAAATCTGCTCGATATAAAATTTTTAAGGGTCACTTTTGAAAATATCTCAAAATTACTCAAAATACTTAAAATTTTTTCGACGAATATCAACAAATAAAAATTTTTTTTTTTATAAAATTGACATTATTGCTACTGTCTTTTAACTAGTTAACATTAATCCGAAATTTATAATGTAAAAAAATTTTAAACGACTTCTGAGAATAAAAATTTTCAAAATTTATATCATTTTTAATTTAAAAAATAAATTAGAATTAATTTCTGGAAAGGATTCTTAAAATTAATATGTTTTAATTAGACTTGAAAGAAAAGTCCGTCTTTTTTGTACGACCCTATTAAAATTATTCAGAATACTTAAAAATTTTTCGACGACTATCAATTAATTAAAATTTTTTTTTTTTTTTTATAAAAAATTGATATTATTACTGTCTTTTAATTAGTAAACATTAATCCGAAATTTATAATGTAAAAAAATTTTAAACGACTTCTGAGAATAAAAATTTTCAAAATTTATATCATTTTTAATTTAAAAAATAAATTAGAATTAATTTCTGGAAAGGATTCTTAAAATTAATATGTTTTAATTAGAGACTTGAAAGAAAAGTCAGTCTTTTTTGCACGACCCTACTAATTATTTTGTCGTAGTAAATTTACATGACTAATTAATTTCAACATTTTAAACAGCGTCAAATGTCAAAATACTATTGAGTACTAATCGTAGTAATTACTTAAGATATATGTAGACAATTAACGTCCGAACAATTTTATTTATTTTGTAACCATCGTTTAAATAAACTTTTTATAAAATAAAATAATTAAAAAAAATCTTACTTGCTCTTCTTCAATATCAAAACCCAGAAGCATCCCGAGAAGAAGAATAGTAATGCCATCATGAAATAAAGAGCAGGTAGCGGCATTTCGCCAGCGCTCAAAAAGTTACCATTATTAATCTCAGTGATATGCATAGTAAAATTAACCATCGATCTGTCTTCGTCGTAATTTCGACAGTTGTGGAAATAAAAGTTATAAAGTCCTTCCTCATCTTCATTCATAACATACATTGCGAAGCTAGTGTTGATGTACTTTTCTCCGTCAATCGTCTCTACAGTCATGTTGAGTTTAACATCAGAGCACGGAGATTTAGCTTCATTCTTTTCTCCAACATTAGTATCTATAATTAACAAAAAAAAAAAAATTATAATTTACGCCATAAATAATATCTGGTTAAAATAAACTCAGACAAGAATCTAAATAATTTTACTGAATTACTTGCCCACCTGTTGGCTTTATTCATGACATTTAACATATTACTTGTGACAATCTATTTATAAATCTGCACTATTTAAATAAAATTCAGTGTAATGTTCACAGTACAATGTGTAAATATAAATTTAAATCCCCTTTTATTGTTAATATTTCTGTCAACGAGTACAATGCTCTAATGTCTTGTTGGTATTTATGATTATGATAAACTCCGGTAGTTAGATATTTATTCAAGATACATGCTTTCACAATGTTAATTATTACAATGATTTTTATTTTTATTAAACCGCAACAGAAATTGTTGGGTCAGATCCAAATTTATTACCTAACAACTATTTTTGATATTTAAATGCAATGTTACGTGCATTTATTTAAAAATTATGAATGAAATAATGCAAGACTCAATTTAATAACAGGAGCGACTAATTTTTTTTTTTTTTTCATTAATAAAAAATTGTATTTAATAAGTAATAAATTATTTATTAAAGAAAAAAATATAATATATTTTACCAAGTGTGTCCCGCTTCCGTCGAGGAAACAATTTGGTATCACTGAACCCAGATATTGATCCCCGTTTTTTTCTAAAGCTCGGCAATTGATTGATATCATTATAAATATGCAGTGACTTAACATTTGAGCTACAGGTTGTTTTTAATCTGCGGAAGAAAAAGTTATTAGTATCAGCTTGAAAATGAATGTTTGAGTGATAAGTAGCAAAATGAAAAAACTATTTTTACTGTAAAGTTTTTAAATCCATAATAAAATAAATCACAGCACTTTCATCCTTTGAGTCGAAATCTGTGTGAGGATTTATTGGTCCTTGTAATAAACATTTATCTTGGTGACTATCTAAATATGGATTAACAGTATCACTTTTTGTTCTATCTAAACTAAATCCATACTAAATAAAAAAAAGTAAATAAATAAATTAGTTTTTTTATATGAAAAATTTTTTAGTAAATTTTTAGATGTTTGGCTCCAAATATTTTTAGGTTTTTTCTTCAAGTTTTCATTGAAACTATACACGGAAAAAACAAGATGACACTGGACATCATCCCAGATTATACTCAGTCATATCTAAGGTGAAAAAAAATTTTAAATAGCTAAAAAAATCCATGAGAATTAATGTAGCACAAATTTAATAATTTTAAAAGTTTTATAACAAATAAATTATGGCAAAAAAAAAAATAAGAAAAAAAAATTGACATTTAGAAATTTAAAATAATAAAAAATGCAATTTTTTGAAAATTATTTTTTTGAATAAATCTTTTGGTTAAATAAAATTAAAAAATCTTCAAGTGACAGCTATCTTTAATGTCATAAAAAAATCCAGATTATACTGCGTGATATCTGGATTATACTCACAGTAATCTCGATTATACTAGCTACTATCTTAAATTTTTTTTCACTCAGTATAATCTGGGATGGTATCCAGTGTCATCTTGTTCGTTCTGTGTAGAAAACAATATTCAAAAGAATCTTAATAAATTACGTGTTTCAAAAAAATAATTACTACTTAGTTATTTAGTAACTTTTGTATGAAAAAATTTGAAACTGAAATTATTTATAAGAATTCATACTTGTCTGTTAATGTTAATATGATTAAAAAAATTTACATTTTTCATGTAACAAAAAATTTACTTGGTAAATAGACAGAAAAATTATTGAATATTTTTTAGCATGTATAATAAAATTATCAAGTTATAAAAAAACTGATAAGTTTTACTCAATTTTTTTAATAGGCAGTAACTTTACATAAATAAAAAAAATTATTCTATTAATAAATAAAAATAGATGGAGCCCTACATATAAAAAATTACCTTTCTTGGTAATATTATATTTTAATACTAAAAATAGACTTATTATTATAAATAAATTGCTGAGAAAAAAAAGCCTGGATTAAATCTTCAAGTTCAAATTTAAAGATTTTCAGTCCTTGATTTCTAAAAAATTATTATAAAAAAAATTAGGTGTCTATTTTTCGTATTAATTATTGCAAAAAAAAATGATTAATATATATTTATGAATTTTCTTACAACATCAGTATCCTTAAATGGTTTAACCTTGAAGTTTGTTAGATTAACAGTAAGACTTCCACGTTGATAAAAGCCAAACGTCGTTAGCGCAATATATCGCCTGGCATCATTCTATCAATTTAAATAAAATTTATTATTAATGTTAAATCAATTTATTAGAATTTATTAGATAAAATACTAACCCGTATATCAAGTTTGTGAATTCTTCCAGAAACAACACCCAGCAACAATAACAGCCAATAAATTAACACCGACATTATTTATAATTATAATTATTTACTCACAGTACTTGAATTTTTAGTTGTCAATTAAACATATTACACTTATTAGTAATGATAATGATAAAAAATTTAGTGGATTAATTATTTAGTTGAATGCAGACAATCGCGATTAAGGATTCATGATTCATAGTATGTACTAAACAGCAGAAATAACAACAAAGTCTGGCTGATGATGTATTAAAGTAACTGATATTTATAGATTGATAAATTGTTATTATTATTATTTGTATATAGATTAATGAATGATGGAAATAGCGAGACTGAAGATTGATATAAATTTTAAGGAATAAGGTTTCGGAACAGTCACAGATAACGGAAAACAATTTTACCGATTTGGTTCTCTTTTTATCTGACAGATGACAGGTCTGAATAGATCCTACATTTACTAATAAAAATAAATAAAATAACAAACTCAATAAAATAATAATTTAGAGTTTATTACATAATTTTATTTTTTTAAATTATTAATCGTATATTTCATTTAACAATTTAACTATTTATTTAAGTAAATACGGACTTAATTTATTTGGATGCTTTGTTGTACTTTTCTAAATCAATTTCTTTCCACCATCTGAAAAAATTAATATATTTATCAGAATGTTATTATTTTTATTATAATTAATTTAAACAAAATATAATTAAAGTAACTTACTCAGGTTTTCTGAGAATGTGGACTCTCCAGGCTACTAAAGCAACAAATAGTGCAGCGGCGGGGTAACAAAATGGCCTTGTTATCATTTTTGTATCTGTGATTAATTTTCTTTGGAAAAATGTTGACTGGAAGCTGAAAAAAAAAATTATAATTGTAAAATAATTCTTATTTGGAGTAATAATCATATTTACCTTGTTGGAGAATAATAACAGTAGCTTAGGTTATGGATCCGAGGAGTGAAATTGACACTAGGTGGCTGGTGGCTGGTTGTAGGATAATGCATAATAATAAATAACATACGAAACAGGGAGTTTCATCACCAACAAACAATAATATGTACAAATTACATTTGAGAACTTTTTTTTTACTAGTGCATGATATTCAAAGCATATAATAATTCTGAGATTTTCGAATAGTTATAATTGTTGTACATTTCAATTCATGAATGAGTGTATAGACTTTTACAAGCAACTGTTTCAAATAAATTAAATTCGAACTAAAGAAATGTTAAAATAAAAAAAAATTAGAAAAACGGTTGACCCTAAAGGCCATCCCTGCAACTTTCCGCTAATTTCATACTTAACCCGTCAGCACTTAAGTTATGAGCATTTTGCTCACGCTCGATTTAAAACAATGAAAACTTTTTTTTTTCAAATGGCAAGTGTATTAGATGAAATTTTTTCTACCTTCGAGTAATTTGACCTATTTTCCAATTATGAATTTTTGAAATGCTTTAATATCATATATATTTTTTAAAAAAATATTTTCCCCTTGCGCGTCAGAAATTGTGAGCATTCTTCTCATCACGAGATTATAGGTGTAACAAAACAAAATTTACTTTCGGTAACGTTCAGGCTAGTTCGTGTATCTTCGTAACTGTATAGCTGCCCGGCCGCATGCAGATTAAACGTGAGCAAATTTCTCATCACGAGAGTAAAGATTACCGAAAAGTTCACGTGAGTACTAACAAGTTAAGCGCTCAAAATTGCACTTACTACGTCTTTGAGCTCTTCGAGATCAAAAAAATAATTTTTGTGTCATTTTGAGCTCTCTGAAAAAAAAAAAATAGTGTTTTATCAAACTTCTATCAAACTTTTGAGCTCAAAAGCATACAAAAGCTATTTTTTTGAGCTCGGAGAGCTCAAAATAATACACAAATTGTATTTATGAGCTTGAAGAGCTCTAAAACGTCATAAGTGTAAGGGGCCATTCATTAATTACGTAAGGACAATTTTGGTCAATTTTGACCCCCCCTACCCCCATGTAAGTATACGTAAGATTTCTCCCCCCCCCCCCCCTCTTCCCCTTTCTTACGTAAGATTCTATCTTGACCTTCTAAATAATAAACTTTTATGTTTGAAAAAAAAAAAATAGTGTTTTATCAAACTTCTATCAAACTTTTGAGCTCAAAAGCATACAAAAGCTATTTTTTTGAGCTCGGAGAGCTCAAAATAATACACAAATTGTATTTATGAGCTTGAAGAGCTCTAAAACGTCATAAGTGTAAGGGGCCATTCATTAATTACGTAAGGACAATTTTGGTCAATTTTGACCCCCCCTACCCCCATGTAAGTATACGTAAGATTTCTCGAACCCCCCCCCCCCCCTCTTCCCCTTTCTTACGTAAGATTCTATCTTGACCTTCTAAATAATAAACTTTTATGTTAGAAAAAGAATCAGTTGCACTAAAACTTACAGTTCCATGCGGATCCATAATTTTTATTTTTTAACAAGGAATAATTTAAATAATACTAGCAAACATAAATCATTAAATCTACAAACTCATAACATTGTTCAACAAATAATATTTGACTAGTTTTAAATTAGTCTCAAAAACATAAATTAAATAGTTAAAGCTAGATCAATTAAAATTATTAATCTTCATCCGGACTAAACGGACTTTTAATCCATGTTATCCAATCAGAGACAATTGGTAGCTCATCAGATGTAACGATAGATGGAAATATTTTTTTATTTTTTAAATAATAAAAATATGATAATGCACGGAAAAATTTATTATAATTTTTTCTATAGAACCAAACATGGATAACGATAAAAACATATAAAATTTTAATAAGTTATTTTTTATTTTTGTCAATAAGCAACAAAAATTATTTAAATAAAATAAAAATTCGACTGTACACTTTAAAATAAAGAAAACAATTTGGAATCCGAAATGGAAAGATTTTTAATTTTGAATTTTGAGTCCCAACATAAGAACTTGTAGAGATTTTCTTAATCCCCCCTTCCCCTCAATACCCTTACGTAATTAATGAATGGCCTCTAATTTCAAGCGTTTAGGTATAGAATTGGCGGGAAGTTGCAGGGATGGCCTTCAGGGTCAACCGTATTCCTAATTTTTTTTAAACTAGAATTTAATTTTCGCACGCAAGCGCGCGTCTTGACTATAGAGTTTGCATATATTTTCATGCTTATGATATATTCGACCAATCACGTTACGAATAGTTTGATGCCACATACATTTCATCTCAATTTTATATTAGGACTAGAATTTAATTTTCGCGCGCAAGCGCGCGCGTCATATTTATTGTCATGATATATTTATGTGTCGTTTATGTATATTATATTCACTTTTAACCAATCAGAATGAGAATAAATATTTTCAACCAATCACATCACGAATAAATTGGTTTCACATACATTTCATCTCAATTTTATTATGGGACTAGTATACGTTGCGCGCGCAAGCGCGCGTGTGAATGTTGGTATGGAATTATCTATATTTTCATGCTTATGATATATTTGACCAATCACGTTACGAATAGTTTGCTCTTACATGATATATTTTCATATTTTTCATCTAAATTATAAGAGTGGATTAAAACAACAGTCACAAAAATTTTTTTTTAACTTGTGATTTTTATATTTAAAACCTATTTCTACACGGAAAAAAAAATTTCGTTCTGGTAACCTAATTGTTTTCAATAGGGTAGAGAAAGATACCAAAATTTCAGAAAAATCGAAAAGGGTCGGTGTCAAAAGTGGTCGATTTGGCATGGAATGCCCCATATAAAAATGCATGTGGGTACTCAAGTGAAAGCTCTTGATGAGTATAAAATCAAAATGGGCTTATATTTACGAAAATGTTAATTATTGAAGAATGCCCATTGCATATTGTTAACTAATGATGTTTTTAACTATACAAGCTCATTCCTAAAATTTCTTAATTTAAGACGTGTGTACATGACAACGTCTATCGGGTCCGCTAGTATGTATATATATATATATATATTTTTTTTGAAAATTTTTAATTACAATTAATTTATAAAATAAAAAAATAAAAACATTATAATAATGATTAAAATGAAATATTATCAAAAATAATAAATTAAATTTTTAATAATTAAATATAAAAAAGGTTTAAAAAAATATTTTCTTCACAAAAATTTATTTATTTCTAAATTCATTTATTTTGGGAGTGAATGCGGAGTGAATTTTATTATTAATAAAAATTAACTCCTTCTCGGAGTAAATATCACTCCCGCTGGGAGTGAATCAATTAAAAATTATTCACTCCCCATTCACTCCGCAAATTTTTTACAGTGTATGAATAAAATTTTTTTTTTTTAATTTCGCTCATAACTTTCTAATAGGAAATTCAGTTCTCTACAAAATTGCTTATGCCCACTTTTTTCGTAAACTCAACAGAAACGAAGTTACAAAGGGCTGAATAGGAGGAAAAAAATAATTAATGAATGAATAACAGAACAAAATTTATTTTTTTAACTTATTAATTTATTATATTGAGTGCTTGTGTATCTGAATAATGATAGATCTGTTCCTGTTCGTTTTGTTTACATCAACAATAAGCAAAATGACGTCTTAAATTAAGCCATGCTTACTGCGTTAGCACTTATTTTGTGTCCCGGCCGAAAATTTTGTAAGTATATTATATATAGTAAGTGACTTACTAAATTTAGTAAGTACTTACTTTGGCCAAACACGCCCAATGAGTGTATACACTCTTACAAGCAATTGTTTACAAATAAATTAAATTCGAACTAAAGAAATATTTAAAAAAAAAAAATTTGGAAAATCCAAAAGTGCACGACTCATAATGCTCATTTAATTATGAAATTATAATGAAACAAAGCGAACGTAAAAAAAAATATCAACCCAAGTGGCACAAAATTTTTTTTGATAATATTTTGTTGAATTAAAGTTGACAATTAATAATTTTTGACTTCTTATTAAATAAAATTTACCAAAAAGTTAACAGTTTTTTATGTGACGCTTGGAAAACAGCTGAACTTATGTTTTTTTTTTTTTTATTTTGAACTTCCCGCTAAGAAAATTGAAAATT